CCTAATGTTTCGGATTACTGCTTATACTCTTACCACCTCTACCACTATGGGATTCGAATCGACAACTGCATCTCTGTGCTAATGTGGTGTGGCAACTCGAACTGATGTACGTACGTACGAAGTTCTACGTTGTTACTGACTGACTGACTTAGAGTTGTAGGCCAAAGGTTCAGGATGTGACCCCCTAAGAAAACCACCTGTTTCGGTTTGGGCACCCGGGCAGTATCACAGCCCTCACACATATCAAATGAGATTTGTGTGGCGCATATGTATTTGGTCCCTCCTTGTTCCAATATCTATGTGTTAAGATAAATAAATAAATAAAGTTCGCTCTAGTTTGCGGAATGTTTGGCAACATATCTATATCCTTATACGTTATAATCCTAAATATTTCATCATTTAGAAAAGGAGTAATCGATTGTTAGATGTATAAAAATTTTTATAAATCGTATGGTTATTTATTTGTATACCTTTCAATAAACGATTTTAAAGGTTTGACCAGTTTAGTTTACTTGGGCTTGTGAATCCAGGAACGTTGATACGTTATAGGGCTCTTTTCTACCACAATATTCACATGCAACATGGCTTGGCAAACGATAATTCAGTAAATCCGATATAAATTCTCAATATTTTCAACGTCTACGTATAACCGTACTAACTACTTGGGTTTCATTACCATGGTTCTAACATAATCACTTTTCCCCATATCACATTTACAAGATTCGTTACCAATCCTATAAATATTCGTATTATGTGACTTTCCTCATTACAGTTTTTTTAGGACAGTGTTCTTCCAAATTGTTTTCCCATGATACACTACATAAACGTTTTACTGTTTTTTTTTATTGACTGAGATCAAATAATGGATTTTCTAATCAAAACTCCATGTGTTGGATTTCTCGTATAGAAACATATTTGAATATGCAGGCTTTCTGTATTATTTCCAGCTTTTTCTACATAGAAAAAGATCTATGACTCAATGTTTTAATTTATTTTAGTTTTGTTGATAAGACAATAATTAAGAACTGTATAATTCACTACCTGAATAAGCAAACACATGACAATCGTTCAGTACTTTTCAAGTCGGTGGGAAAGAGAACTGCAATTAAGTTTTTTTTAAATCCATTTTTGAATATTTTACGCTAGGAAATAAGGGATTTAGCGAGGAAAAAAATTTTTTTGTTGTATCATAAAATTTTGTTTAGATATTTCTCATGATTGGTTCAATCACTATGTATATTTTCAACTCTTTCCTAGATCGATAATTTCATTTTAATTAGCTGAGTTCTACTCATTTTATTACCTATTGCAGCTACCGTTCAGTAATCATGTAGTCATTTATTTCTTCCAGCTCTCTGGCCTTTATTTTATTATCATTATCATAAACTATTCTATCATATAAGATATAAATATTTGTAATATTTTTACTCAATATCTGAAATTTATTTACATAGCTCATGTACAGGGCTGATATTTGTTAAAACAAGTTTCCAGTCATACTCATTTGTGTATTTTGTAAAAAAAATCATTTTGTACACATACTGATGATAATCAAATGAATTTATGTTATTCTGTTCAAATCTTTGTTCTTGCTCTTTTCAAAGGAATCATATGTATGAAAAATGTTTTTTCTTTGTTTGTTTTTTTATTTCATTTGTAATTATGATTGTACATTACAATATGTATTTCAAAACTAAACAATGAAATCACTATTCATTAAATATTGATAAGTTAGTCAATAAATTTCGAATTATTTATGAAAGAATAAGGATAGTTTATTAAGAAGGTGAATTTAATGGTTATAATATATAAAGAAATAATTTTATCAATGAGTTATTATTATTATTAGCTTTATTCAATATTATATTATTGGTACAATATAGAATTCTCAGCACAAAGTATTTCTACAAGTTTCCGTTTCTTTCTTCTTGGTCGGTCCTCGCGATAAATACTGAGTGATCGCCAGTTAGATGTTAGCAGTCCAGTAAATGAACATCTGAATAATGTACATTCTTTCCGTTGTACATTGCCAGCAACCACATTCTCTCTTTTTCAGCTTTTCGTAACTTTGACAACGAAAGGTTGTACACTTTTCAGAAACGCAGCAGAATAGGTTGTGCAATTAATAGACATAATGATATATTAAAACAAGCAAAAATAGATAACTTGTTGAAATATCTAGATGGCAGGGACAGGTAGCCCAGATGCTCAATCAGGCCGCCCTCAAGGATATAATCTTACAAATGTAGATGCTTAGGGGATCTAAGTGTTTGTTTTTTTTCTGATAATTAATATATGATGTCAAGGATTGCGCAATAATAACTAGTCACGTATTTGATAAGCTCTGTTAGATGTTCATCACTTGAAACAGAATTATGAAAATCCTAATAAGTATTATATTGAAAAATCTTAGCAGGTCGCATAGAAGAGCTAATCGATTGGTCAATAAATCTCATTATATAAATACAAGAATAAGATATAGAGAAAATGTTGGTTCATTTCGAAAAGAATTATTTGATTAGCTAGATCGACATAATGAATTAGGAGGTTTCAAAATCTTCTACTGAAGACATATGGGTTAGTTTTACTTATATGGAAACTTGTGACTTCTTTTAACCGATAAAAGACACGTTTTGTTCTTCGTTCTCACTGTATTTATTTTAGAATCATTAATATTTACATTTTCAACTTATCCGTCGAGAGTTTTGTATATTATAAGCGAATGGCTGTTCTGCTACCTGTATAAAAATTTTGACACGACTGCTTTAGTCTTGTAATGTTTTTAAGGTATCTAAGTTTTTTCACCTAGATTTCCAGCCTACATATTAATAAAATGTTTGCTCTGTGTATCATTGCGGCTCACTATCGCCCCTTTAAATTAGACATGACTATTGATTCCTGTGATGGCATCTTTTTATTTTAATTTCTAGCTTATATTTATTTATCTGCCCATTTGTTGTCCGATTTCACTTTTTCACAGTAATTAGATAGTCTTTTTTTTCTAATGCACAGTGTTAATCTAGTCCTGTTAACTTAATTATAATATAGTTGTTGAGCTAAGTGACTGTACATAGTGGTGTACTCTCTGTTAAGTAGTTGATGGTAAGGAACAGTAGGGTCTGAGCAAAGGTTTCGTATTAGTTATTGTTCCTCAACAACGGGTGTCTGGAAGATTGAGTGAACTGCTGCTCTCCGTAAAAGTTGAACCTTGGTCACTCTATTTTGATGTACAGGTACCTCCAGTTTTGGGATTGATCTTTGCTTAACTTATTTTTGTGGCTCGTGTGCACAAATCGTAATAGCGGAGAGCAGTTGTATTGATCTAGTCTGTGTTGATTAGTTAGCTTGGATTGTCTATTTAGTACCAATGACCTTAGTCTAACCAATGAGGTTATACTAGTGCGATTACCATCGAGAATAATAATTAACGACCATTGGCGCAGAATGCAGTTTCCATCCTTGTTCGACTGATAATAAGGGATATAAATGGATTTTGAGTTGAATTCTCAAGAGAAACATTGATGATGCTTAAATATGATATTCCTATCTCATGTGACAGCATAGTAACTTTATACTCACTTGCATTCATTGTTTTGAACAATTTGTTAATGATCGTGTGTTGTTATGTCATTTATCTTCGTATTTATAAAATTCACCGTATTAGCCTAAAATATATTTTTGTGTCTATGCTGCGTATAAATACTATTATTGTATATTTATTTTAAGTTTTCTTATAGCGATTTCCCACCACTGAAATATATCGACTGAAGAAGTCCTGAAGATCCAGTACTATTTGTCATATATATATAGTAGTTTCTTACTTTTTTCAAGGAAACGAACCACAAACTTCAATAGCGATTTCTGTGTTTGTTATGCTTCCTAGTTATGTATCTTTTATGCATACTCGCTATAGATGAGTATTGTCAACTCTTCAACGAATCAAAATTTATCATGTTTAGGTATTTATCTTATTTTAAAATACAAAGTTATTGATATATGACTTGTGTGTTTAGGTTAGACATTTCGAAAAGTACATACGAACAAATGTGATTGGGGGATTGGAAACTTGAAATAAGCAAACTGTAAAACCATTTGTTTACTGTATGGATTCCTGGGTTTTTGTTTAAAAGTAATCAACATTGTAAGAAAAAGGTATGGAATTATTGTTCATCAAAATTCCGCACTAAGGGATGTGTACGTTTACGCAGACTTTTGGTGTATGATGAAGTTTTCTTCATTGCAAAGTGCCATGTTGGTCTAAAGTTCAAATTTGTGTACTGATTGGTGATCTGCATAAATATTCTCGGTTAGTTATCCGTGGTCTGATAAGTAATTTGCAGATATGTCATATTGAAAATGTTTTCCATATATAAGTTAACTGTTTTTGTTTATTACCGTATGTGAAGGCATGTTATTACGGTTATCCGCACCGAAATGTTAAATGAAATTGATCCCAATGTTACAATATAGTCATTTTTAAATGAACCCTGTTTTGCAATGTTATGTTCTACTGTATTAGGAGTTAGTTGGTAGGAATGAGTGTAGAGGAAAACATGAACCCTAGGTTTTGTGAACTTGTCAAAAGCTCTTACCTGTGATCTCGAAAGAAATGGATTTCTCCTTGTAATTCAAGTAAACATAACAGTGCTTCAGTTGGATATTTTACCACCGAAGTCAATCGACCTGACCTAACCCCTCGTAAGACTGATGTTCCTTCTACTGAACGTGTTCAACTACGTGATAATAAGAAAGTTCCGCAACAATATCTAGTCATTAGGATTCGTGGTTACACAACAAACCATATCAGTAAAACACCATAGGAACAAAGAAGTAGACAACATGAGAATTATAGCTTAGTTACCAATGAGTGAGAACATTGAAGACATCTGAATTCTGAACAAAATATTGGCATTAATATCGAATTACCTCCAAATGATTATTTAATTATGCAACTAAAATCAAATCGTTCAATAAACTTTATATGATTTTCATTTTATTAGATAAATCCAGATCTGCCTAAAGGTCAAGGAGAGAAATTTTTGTTACGTCAAGTTGCTTCAATGTTGAATTTGAATTATGCGTCTAAACAACCGAAACGTGCAATGCAATTCGGCAGTCGTGTGGCTAAAGCTGAAGGATCTAAACGTTTGATTGGATCAGCTGACCAAATAAAGTTCGCATATCAGTCTGAATCACAAAAGTAGTTATTACCATCTAATAAACTTTGTATTATGCAATAGTACAACTATCCTTATTTTATTACCCTGATACATAAATACATTACTTTTTATAAATAAAAATACAACAATTGATAAAGTTCGATTATTTTCGTATTTCTGGAAATAAAATTAGCAATTATCTATTGATAATTCGTTTATTTAAACACATAAACATTGGTAAAAGGAAACATCAAATATATATGCACCACACTTCGTTATTCGATCTGTATGAAGGCTGGAATACTGCCCGGGTGCCCAAATCGAAACAGGTGGTTTTCTTAGGGGGCCACATCCTGAACCTTTGACCTACAAGTCTAACCCACAAGCCAGTGGAGCAACGTTAGGAGATACAGTCCCATGATAGTCAGTGATCAACAATAGGTTCATACGCCATTTGTTCCTTCAGGATCCTGAAGCCGATGTACACCATTGGTTTAGAATCAGAGTTTTTCAACTGCTATGTTCACCAACCCGGTTAGAGTTCCGGACATTCGTTTTTCGTCCTCTCAATTTCGTAAACAACATCTCCACAACGAGGAGACAGTGAATAGGACTTACTTGGCAGTGGCTGTATAGATAATATGGTTATTTTTATGCCAAGTAAAGTGTCAATTAATATTTTGGCCATTTCCTTTTCTGTTTACAACAGGATTTTAATTTTTAAAGTGTTATCATGAATTAATATTGTTTAAGGTAGGTTCAGTTCGTCCAAAGATAATTGAAAAATAGTAATTGACGGTCGTGTTTACCTTTTCGATCTGTACAACTGAAATCACAATATTTTCTTAATCAGACTTTGAGTCATTGTCTATGCAAATGGCAACTGACTTCGAAATTTTTTCGTCTGAATTTTCCACTTCAATCAAGCTAGTTGTATTAGGTTATTACATGCCTTTATTACTGTACTTCGTTCCTGATATTCAGTTACTGATTTCCAAGTATTAATTTTGGGACGAAGTTATAAAATGCTTGATTTTCAAACCATTGTTCTAATTGGTTTTCACTTCATTTTAAAGTGAGCATACATTTTAGGAGAAAAATGCTTCAGATCCACTGTTACATTGAAAGTGGAGCACATTAATTTTAAGCCAAATTTTATCATCAGTCTCTATGCTTCACAGCATCTTTTTTGTGAACTTATGTTTTCACTTGTCCACGAGTTATCTTGGTACCTGTGCGGTTACGCCACAGGATCGTATTGTACTGTTCATATGGTAATGTAAAAACCTTAAAGGTATCTGGTTCTTCTGAAAATCAATGCAAATTTACCCTCTTCTAGGCGATATTTATTTACAATTGTGTGCGACTGTTTTTCACGTGCATTTCCCCACTGTTATCGTAAACTGACTTATGCTACAGATTAATAGAAGATTGGAAATGCAACTTGATGATTTGGTTATTATGAAACAATTTATAACTGGTTATTAACAAAAAAAATACAATTCATAAAACACAATATCAATTTAATACTCCCTACTATTAGTGATATTGGTTTAGTGCGAATTTTATCTTTTAATTACCTTGTTTCCTACAAACCGCTATATATATATATATATATATATATATATATTCCAGTTACCCTGTCCCATCATTCGACGATTTGTAGTCCTTAAGAATAATAAGTGTTTCATCCATTTCTATAGTTTTATTTTCGATGTACGAAGTTACTACTAGAATTTTTTATCCTTGTTTAGTTAACAGGAATTCTCCTTTCAGAGTTTCAGACAATATTTAGTTATTTTTATGAAATACTTTTGATACACATAAATTCCTGTTTATCTGTTTTTGTCTCCTCCACCCTGTTCTTTTTATTTATTTTCTCCCTCAAAGAAAAATATAATGTAAATGTAACTTATAAATAAGTATCATTATTTTCTGATGTTTTGTTTCAAATTTTCATTGAGATTATGGAAAAACAGAAATGAACATACCATTACTCTCTGTTCACTAGAAAACAATTAGGATACATTGTATATAAAGTAACAAAATAAACAGTGGACAGGGTATTATATCTTTTTCATATTCATTAGGTTTTAATGTGCGTGTAGAACTATGGATACTTTATTCTATCAGAACAAAGATGATGCTCATATTGTTACCTCATTTTATGTATAATAACATTTCATCAGATACAAAATGATTTTAGTTTTCAAGGCTGTAGGTATAGCCTAGCCTAATAGGTTATGTTTACCCATTATTATTATTATTTTCTTAACATTGTTATGATTTTTGATTCATCAGGGATTTTTTACGTTACAAACATTATTTGTAAGTTTATCACTAGATCGTTTTTTGTTTGTGTTTTCATGTAAGGACGAAATGTGAATCATTTTATTTTGTTTCTGTTATCTCTATTGTTATTCTGTTTGTTTCACTAATAATTGTATTGCTACCATTAATATTAGTTACTCTCATAATAATTATTATATACAGAATTATGATTGGTGCTTAATAAAACATGAATTATTGGTTTACATCACTTTCGTGACCTACAAGTTAGTTTATCTAACAGCTATCAAACGTACCCATACTGATGATTGGGATTTAAATTCATTTCAGTTAATTTACATTGTGTTCTTAATTGTTAACGACAACGACTACTATGTATTTATTATTTATTCTCGACAACAGTATTTGATCATTCATGTCCCTAACAACGTATAAAGAGTCCATAAAAATGATACCACAATTTGTTAGGCGGCATAGTTGTGCTGATTTCTTTGGTTTCAAGAAACTTTGTTTGAATGAAATTTCTTGTTTGCAAACTAGAAAATATGCTTCTATAACAGCAAAGATATGAAATACAACAGAATATATGAATTAATTTATGTTAAAGCGAGGGTATTTTCATGTTTACTGTTAAGAAGTCTGCTGTCATCATTAATATATAATTCTTTGCAATAATGACAAGGGTCATACTAATTAGCCAATAAATATCATAAAGTCTAATCCCTAGTTCTTGTCGAATTCTGTCGACTAGGTTGTACTGTAACTGGTGGTCTTAATAGGCTGTCACTCTTGAATTGGATAACCTAGTTCGGGATTATCTTATTGTAGTGCTGCCTGACTCCGGTCCGATTTCCTGACGAATCATCAATTACTTCATATTTTCTAATAGTTCGTAATGACGAGCTGGTTTTTTACGGATTTCCTCGAATAACTTATTAAAGCGACATTATTAATATCGATGGATAGAATGGAATACTGCCATTGAATAATCCTATTTTTTTGTATTTTACAAATGACTTACCTCGTTACTTCCTCTTAATTCATTTTATTGTATTCTATCCTCCTTCCGTTTTGCTATATTTCTTTCTGTTCTCTCTGTAGTTTGTCGCTATATTTGTCGTTATTATTATAACTAACAGTGAGAATGTTACTGCTAACAATATTTTTTGGCTATTTTTACAACCCATAGGGAATAAATTGATATTTTATTTCTGTATATACCATCAGCTCATAAATTATACGCTGGCTTATAGTAGAGAATGAGACATAAGGGATTTTCTTAGAAAATACTCAGTGGTTTTCAAATCATTAAAAATGTAACTGTTGCCTGGTTTCATTATTTATTTATTTGAACACATAAACATTGATACGAGGGCGCACGAAATAGATGTGTCCCACACAATAACAATGAGGTTGCGAGGAGATAGAGAATGTAAAGTGCGTATAATAAAAGAAAAAAAACAACGAACATAAATTAGTGTGTGAGAGCGAAATAATATTGATAATGGGAGAAACAGTTCAATTAGCAAGAATATAACCAGAAAGAATTCTTTCAACTGAGGAAGTTACATTCATTTTTGATGAAGAAAGTTACAGCAGGATCACCACTGGCTTCTATTCCGAGCCATATCTGATAATGTCTCTAGCCACTGTGTTGCACCATCTCTAGGACTCCAATCAGGGAGTCGTGATGGACCAACACAAGGCAGTCCTGTACAGCTTTCCTTCATATCACGACACCATGTCATACACTGACCGCCTCTCCACTTTTTACAGCCATTTCCAGCGTCGGAAAGTAATGCAAGTTCAGTGGCCCGAGATCTGACTCCAGTTATATCATACGATTATTGATTGTTATTGAAATATTCACGACAACTATCTTAGTATATAATCATCGACTTAGATCGCGTTGTTGAATAACAGAATTAAATAAGTCAAATACGAGAATGGATGTTTGAATACGTACATTTTGTACACTCATTTATCTGGACCACCAAATGCCCTGGTACGATCGAGGGTGGTGAGAACCCGCTCTCCTTCTCCAAACGCTCTCACATGGCCACGTGTATACAGCCACTGCCAAGTAAGTCCTATTCACTGTCTCCTCGTTGTAGAGATGTTGTTTACGAAATTGAGAGGACGAAAAACGAATGTCCGGAACTCTAACCGGGTTGGTGAACATAGCAGTTGAAAAACTCTGATTCTAAACCAATGGTGTACATCGGCTTCAGGATCCTGAAGGAACAAATGGCGTATGAACCTATTGTTGATCACTGACTATCATGGGACTGTATCTCCTAACGTTGCTCCACTGGCTTGTGGGTTAGACTTGTAGGTCAAAGGTTCAGGATGTGGCCCCCTAAGAAAACCACCTGTTTCGATTTGGGCACCCGGGCAGTATTCCAGCCTTCATACAGATCGAATAACGAAGTGTGGTGCATATATATTTGATGTTTCCTTTTACCAATGTTTAAGTATTTAAATAAATATAACATTTATCTGGACAGACAATCAGAAGGACGAAGGGAAGCTAAATGACACGCGATGGAGAAGGCAAGTGAGCCAACTCGATCCAATCAAGCGGTAATCGATATTTATAATCACACAAAAGTAAGCTACAGACATGTGATGAGTAGGATAAGATGTACACTCACCTACGCTCATATAAAAACAGTCAGGGTTGATAAGTGAATAATTAACAAGGTCAAAATGGGATTTGATAAGACTCAATAAATTGGCTTGTCCAGAAGCT